TTAAAAAAGATTCCAAAAAAATTTAGCCAGGCATGGTGGAACACACCTGTAATTTCAGCTACTTGGGGTGCTAAGGCAGGAGGATTGCTTAAGCCCAGGGAAGTTGAGGCTGCAGTGAGCCATGATCTGGCCACCGCACTCCAGCCTGGGTGACAGAGCAAGATGCTATCTCAAGGTAACAACAACAAAATGTTTGTTGCTGTTTTACACCACTAAGCTGGGGGTAGTTCATTTTGTAGCCAATAGGTAACTGATACACAGGGATTTCCCATGACTTAAATTTTGCTGCCCGATGCCATCCTTTAAATAAAAACTGAATGCACCCAATAAAATGAATGTGTTGGAGGGGTATGGCAAATCCTGAGTCCAATCTTAGCTCTCTCATTAGCTCCCTGCTAGACCTTGAACAAGTCTTGCTATTTTTTTGGCTTCTGGTTTCTTTGTTAAAGGATGAGGCTGATGTGTTAAAGGAACTTCGTATCCTTCTTGGTTTTTATTTACTAAACTTCCGTGGTTTATACTCATCTTCCACAATAGATAGCGATGAAAGATTGGTTCATTTGACGTTTCATATTTCAGTTAAAAGAAAAGTCTCAGCTCACAGCATAATAAATCTTTATTACCCATTTTGAGAAAGAAAGAGTAAAATTGTCGGCAATTAAGACTACAAGCTAAGATTTGAGCAAATGGGTCTGAAATATTCTAACTTGATTAGCAATATATAGGAAAACGTTGACAACATTTTTGTCAAAATACATATTCTACTTTGGACAATTACCTGTCACAGATGATTTTCTTTCTGTCTTCCTGAGGCTGGGGATAAACCCAAGCCCTGTGATTTCTAAGCCAAGGCCTTCAAAGTTAAGAAGATAAATAAATTCATGCGCTTTATGCTCTTCTTGCACCTCCAGTGCTCCCTGGGCTCATCCTTTTCAATTGCACTGATGGGAGCTGATTCCAACCTTGTCCTTGCTATTCCTCTGGGTAGATTTTAAAGCAAGGCAAACTAATAAATAATGAAGACAGGTGGAGGAGGCAGGAGAAATTTTGTTTTACGGTACACAAAGTGATTTATGTTGGTCATTAAGAATATGGATTCTTAAAAGAATTTTCCTTTTATTTCCCTCATAAACGATAGATATTTTAGGGCTTTTGCTTAACTTTGCTTGTTGTTGCCAGGTGTTTTTAACTCAAGCTTATTTGTGTGGTGTTTGTATGGTAGCATGGTTTGAATCAATTTTCCATCCAATGTAAGAAACAGAAGATATTGTATTCAGAGATGGCCAAAAAGTATTGATTTCATCTATATTATCTTGTTCATAAGCACTGATTGTGGGTATGAGTAACAAGAATATGCATTTGGGAAGCTTACATTTTTAAAACATTTTAATGTATGTAAGCATAAACACTTTTCCTTTCTTCCCCTCCCCCATCAAATACATCCCACATTCAATTCTGTTTACACATATACATGGTTACTTGATCTATGACAAAAGTGGCTTTGTAGGCCAGTAAAGAATGACCTTTTCATTAAGTACATGCGTGCTCTCTCTGTACACACACACACATATATATACACACACACACATATGTATATATAATTTGACCCCAACACATATATCAATTCCAAGTGAATTTCAAATCAATGTATGAAAGGTACAGTAAGAAAACCTTTTGGCCGGGTGCGGTGGCTCAAGCCTGTAATCCCAGCACTTTGGGAGGCCGAGGCAGGTGGATCACGAGGTCAAGAGATCGAGACCATCCTGGTCAACATGGTGAAACCCCGTCTCTATTAAAAATACAAAAAATTAGCTGGGCATGGTGGCGCATGCCTGTAATCCCAGCTACTGAGGAGGCTGAGGCAGGAGAATTGCTTGAACCCAGGCGGCGGAGGTTGCGGTGAGCCGAGATCGCGCCATTGCACTCCAGCATGGGTAACAAGAGCGAAACTCCGTCTGAAAAAAAAAACAAAAAACACTTTTTTAAAAAACAGAAATAATTTTAAAAATTGGATTACGTTAAAATTACAAACTTCTGTTCATCAAAAGGTCCCATAAAGGGAGTTAAAACAAAAACCACAGAAAAAAACAATATTTGCAATGCATGTATTCAATAAAAGATGTTAATCCAGAATATATAAAGAACTCCTACAAGTCAATATGAAAATATGACAAGGTAATCTGATAGAAATTAACAAAGGATTTGAACAGACAACATCTTATGAAAGATAAATTCAAAGAGAATATCTAAATGGCCAGTAAGAACTTGAAACTGTGCTCAACTTCATTAGTCATGAGTGAAATGCAAATTAAACCTATTTACAAATTAAAATCCTCCAGAAAGAGTAAAGTTTAAAAAGTCAGAAAATCTCAAATATTGGGTAGGATTTGGAGCAACTGAAATGCTCACGCTCTGGTAGTTGTAAGTACCTCTTTGGCCACATCAGCTCATGCTGACTGTCAGCATGTAGTTGTGTTCTAGCAATTTCTCTCGGACTAATGGATACCCAACAGATGCATATGAGAAAATAAATGATGCATATGAGAAAATAAATACAAAAATATAAATGCATATGAGAAAGATAAACTTACTGACAGAAAATGTGGAAGGCATTTCAGAATCATTTGACTAGTGTACTAGAAATGGAACGGAATCTATTATATAATTGTCTTCTAGATGTCACATCAATATACCTCAACCACAGTGTGAAAGTGATCCTTTTCCTAAACTTTGGCCAAGAACAGTCATTATCTTTGTCAATTTAGTAACTGGAAGTGGACTTTCCTTTTAAAATTTATATTTAAAAGAAATTACTGGGGGTAGATTATATGTAATCTTTTTGTTTCCAATACACTTGGACCCAGAAATCTGAACTATATTTATTTATCTTGAAGAAATAATCAGGGATATGGGAAAACAATATACACAACATGTTCACTGCATTGTTGCTTATATTAGCACAAACAATTGTGAAAGCATCCCAAAGGTTTACTAATACCAACTTTATTATCTAAATTATGGCATAATCTCTGTAACTGAAATTTCTTCAGGCACTAAAAATGATGTAATATACTCCATTTTCCCTGATGTGATTATTACACATTGTATGCCTGCATCAGAATATCTTATATAACCCATAAATATATACACATACTATGTATCCATAAAAGTTAAATGAAAAATGATGTAATAATTGAATGTGTAGAATTCTACATGTGTATCATGTTCATGACATATTAAGAAAAAGGAACAGATTATAAAATAGAACATACTGTATGATCATCTTTTTGGAAAAAAACATGCAGAAAATAACTGAAAAGATACATAGAAAATGTAAACAGTGGTTATCTCTGGCGATAGTAGGAATACGCTTGACTTTATTGTGTGTGGGAGTGTGTGTGTCTGATTCATATTTTCCCAGTTTTCTATTATAACATATTTAACTCATAAAATTAATAGTTAAAAAAAAATTTCCCTGGGTAGATGATCAAATCCTTGAGGCTAGAGACTGTAAACAAATTTCTGTGTTTTTTTTTTATTCTCACCACCAATGTGCTTAACTATCCTAACAAGCAAACAGAAAGAGCTCAACAAATACTTCCTGAAATGAAATCACAATACTCGAAACAATTAAGATGGCTAAAATAGGATATTTATCATAAATATTTTCTCAAAAATTTTAATAGGAGATTGTCAAGCTGTATTATTTCCCTCTAAATTCACACTTTATTACAGATAATAGTATTCCATGGCTTTTAGTGAGCCAAGTCTAATAATCTCTCCAGCGAAAAGCGTTATCTACATTTAGGAATAGTTTTCAGGAATTTCATTCTCTTTTGTGAGTATTACCATATTCTTAATACAGCAGCATATAAATCTACTTATAATCCCAAAGTAAGCTAACACTGGATTTAGGTGCATCAAAATTCAAATTCTGTAGATGATTGGCAAAAGTTTTCATTATGGGATACCACAGATAGTAAATGGAAGCACTCAGCTACATGAAAAAAATTATATTCAAAATTTCCTTCTGATTAAGAGATAGCTTATTTAGACAGCTGAAACCGGGCCCTGTAGGATACATTTAGTCTCTTTGACTATTCCCCAAAGATTACGAGGAAGGAACAACCTAACTAATCATGTGTTTTGTCAAGGCCTGCACTGATTTTTATACATGATAATTTAAAATAACCTGTATAATGTATGTGATTGTAAACAATATTATTGTATTTTAAAGTTATCTAAACAACTGTTCAACAATATGAACAATATGAAAATACAGAGTACAATGGCTGATTTATGGGTACCTAAAATTTCTTGTGTGTCATGTAAATGCCTAGGTAGCTTTGATTATACAAACTAAATGAGTTCAAGGATATCTATGATAAAAGGTATTAATGACATAAAGTTTAAATAGCTTGTGTAAAATACTTCACTTATATAAAATGCTTCAAACAGTTGATTTATAATGTCTAACATGTAAAGACTCTCTAATAGAGTACAAATGGAAGAATTAAAGAGGACATCTTTAAGACCAAATAAGTATTTGATCAAAAGCTTCCTTTCATTTGCTTTAGCTCTCCACTTTTTTCCTTGCTGCTAAAATCCTAACATCTTTTGATTAATAAGATGATAATCCTGTTGGACTCCTATGGCTCAATAATGTTTAATGCTACATGTCCTGAGAGTCCCACGAAAGTATTGAGCAGCTGTCACTGACTTCATTCTCTTCTGCACACCATCCTTTACTTTCCACAGCTATCAGGGTTTCCTGTTCTCTCTCCTGAGGTACTTCATAATGCAAGTACAATATTCAGACCTCAATCTTAAAGTCAAAAAACATTGCCTAAGGCTTACCTTAGTTGATATTTTTACCTATCATTTATTTCTGCCAAAAGGAACTCCTCTGAAATTATTTTCATCAAGAATTTTCATTTCATGTTTCATCATCTAAGTTTGAATGCTGATCTTCTTGAACTATAGAGGAAGGTTTCCTTTACTCTATTTCCAGTGTTTTCTACTAAGGATTATTACAACTTTATGAAACACAGAGGCATTTATAAATATATTTTAACTAATTTGTGATATATTCAAAATAACAGCATTGATGTTTCATCGAATTTTACGGCAGAACTAAAAATGACCGAATTTTAAAAATCACTATCATGAAAAGTGGAAACCGCTAATCTATAAGATCAGTTGGAGAGGTTCACGGTGTCACCCCTTCTTGGAGGAGCTTGAAAAAATGCAGGGTAAGGACAAGGAGAACCAGGACAATTCCCAACTCCTATGTGACACACCTTCTTCAGTGACCACTGTAAACACATGTCATGAAGAACCCTTCTTTCAGGTTTGGGGAGATGATGAAAATGCAAAGGCATGGCATCAAGAATGCTTTTTTCCATTTGTGTGACTACGTTTTCAGTAACTACTTTATTACAAATATGCGCTTCCTCTTGCCTTTATTAGGTATCTATTGCTGTATAACAAAGTACACCCCAAATTTCACTTAAAACAACATTTATTTTCTCACAGATTTTGTGGGTCAGGAACCAACCTGGAAACAACTTAGCTGGCTTTTCTGCTTCAGGGTCTCTCCTGTGGCTCCAGTGGCAGGGCTACACTCATCTCAAAGTTCCACTGGGGAGAAATTGCTTCCAAATTCACTCTTGTGGTTGTTGGTAGGATTCAGTTCCTTTTGAGCTGTTGGCTAGAAGCCTCACTCAACCCTTGCTATGTAGGCCTCTCCAGGGGGCAGTTCCCAACATGACAGTTGGCTTTCATTGAGAGAGAAGGCATCAAAAGATAAACTCATCTTTTTACCACCAAATATCAGAAGTGACATCCCGTCCCTTCCGTTGTATTCTATTCATTAGAAGCTAGTCACTAGGTCCCACCTACAACCAGAGGGTGGACTGCCAGGAAATGGGATTATTGGGAGCCATCTTAGGAGGCTGCCTACTACATGCAAAATACATTCCCCCTACTCCTCAGATCCTCAAGAGTTTTACTTTTGCATAACATCAGCTCAAAGTTCAGAATCTCATAACTGGAATCGAGCCAGGGTGATCTCATAATTGGAATTGCCCCAGGCTTCCTCAGGGGATAATTCTTTAAGTACAGTTCCTAGAGCACCGTTGCTTTCCATCTATAGATCCATGAAACTAGAGACAAGGTATCTGCCTTCTACTCACAGCATAAAATCATGGATAAGGCATAACCACAGTCATCACCATAACATTCTGTCAACAAAGATGGGAAATGGGAGGCATAAAGGAGTCACTAAATCCAGCCCATACACAAGGGGAGGAAATTATGCAAGGTCTGAAACCAGGAGGTGGGGATCACTGGGGGCCACCTTAGAGGCTGCCTACCACAGTGTCCTTCTGTTTGACTCTAATAATAAAAGAAGTAACACTTTTAATAGTCCATGAGACTTCAGGTGGGCTGATATTTAACATGTATGGATGGCATTGCTCTTTGTATTGTGATTTTTTTCTTTGGCTCAGAGTAAAATTATTTTTGATTACAAGAATATTGGATTGCTTAACAATTATATTTCTCTTTATCACAGCTATAGATCTGATCATTGACTATTAGGTTGGTTCGTTTCCCAAAAATTTCCAAAATGTTTTCCTAAAGTTTAATGTAACATTTCTTATCCATACTAATTCATCTAGCTGCCTTCTATATTTCTTCTTCAATTTATCAATACATCTTATATTGGCATAAAATTCAAATTGCATCCCTTCGTGAAACATAGTGTCTCTACTTTGAATATGGGAGCCTTTCTAGTTTCTTTTTCATACTAGTGACTAGAGAAATAACTTCCACTGCCTTCAGGCTGCTTCCTGAAGTCCTGGTAGAATACCTCTTATTGTCCTTCCTTTTCTGTCAGTCAATGGTTCTCAACCAATGACAATTTTGCTCTTTGGGGGACATTTTACAATGTCTGGAGACAGTTTTGGTTGTCACAACAGGAGTGTGCTACTGGCATCTAGTGTGCAGAGGCCAGGGATGTGCTAAATAAGCTGTGATGCACAGGGCAGCCTCCGCACAACAAAGAATTATGGGGTCCAGAATGTCAATAATGCCAAGTCTGAGAAACCCCCGTCGAAAACAAACCAGTTCCTCCTCCCACTTTAAAAATGAAGACATTACAAAGTTGCTTTCGCCTTAGTTACTATATAAACCTACTTCCCCCCCCCCCAAAAGCAAACATTTCCCCCAAATAACAAAAATGTGGAGCTGTGATACAAACTAGCAACTGCAGGCAAACCAGGTTCTACATCAATTACCTAACCACTGAAGAATCTAGGCTGAGATAAAGGGCACTGTGAAAAGTGAAATTTTACTAAATGTGCAGTATGAATACTTCTTTTGATGGGCAATATATACTGAATGTTTTATGAGACTTTGAAATCTAGTTTTATTATTTAAGTATATGTAACTACTACTAACTAGAAAATATCTAAACTATGTATCCAAACTGGAGTATGGATTAGAAGTCTTTTTAATTTCTGTTTGTTCTCAAAATTGATGTCAAAATAATAACAAAAATTTAGAACAATGTACAGCAGCCACTTAGAATCCCTAAGATAACTAAAATATTTTTAAATGAATAATTATTTGTATTTTTATTATTTTACGGCATTTCTATTCACGAATCATCTTTTTTCCTAAATCAGTATATCTATAATTTTACGAGTCATTTGTCCAAATACACAGAATAGGCCTTTGGGAGAGAACAAACACACGCACAATTTTTCTTAATTGACACCAGACTGGTTTGCTTCTTTTGAAATACAAACACGCTATTCTCTTAGTTTTTATCTTCAATAACATATGAAAGATCCAAAATCAAGTTGGCTGTCTCTACAGCCACCTGTAGGCCACTAAGCTTAGCAGTCAAACAATCCAAGGTCAGGTTGCTGACTGAGCCTACAGCTTCTTGTGAAAGGCAGGTTTGTGGCACAAAAGGATGATATGTACTTCTTAAGAAAGACCAGCTGAGTTCTTCCTGGCTATTGTATAATCCACAACCACACTGTGAAAGCAAATCTGGCCAGTTAACAAGGCAGGGAGAATCTGCTTGAACAGACCAAAGGTGTCCATACTTCATGTCAGTGAGAATTTCACCTCCATCATGTTCTAAAGAGCGAACAACAGATTCGAGAGCACTGCAAAATGCTTCAGCAATTAGCTGAAGTTCTGTTTGAGTACATTCATCATCTTTGAGAATGCTTTCTGGGTTGTTGTGAGTCTAAAGAGCAATAAAAACATTGAAAACACATACAATTAATATAAAATGTTTAAGAAAGAATAAGATAATGAATCAAAACTTTATTCCTAAAGTTACTACTTATTTTCATTTAATTTGGGGTATGGCACAACGCTAATGGGCTTGTATGGGTCAGATGGCCAGGCTACAAACCCTTAACTAGGTTGGTTATAGTAAAAACGTATATACTACCTGTCATGTTACCAGAATGAGTGAATCAGAATAACCCCATCATCAGCTTATTCTGAATAAGGCTTGGTAGTGCCTCCTTAATACATGAAAGACAAGGCATAATGTATGTATTACAGGTTTTTCTGCACACTGGAGGAAGTTCTTGAAGACTGATGTCCCAAATGAAGTACTTATTTATCTCTGCAAAATGTTTGAGATGTGTTTAAAATGACAATGCACATATTTTTTATTAGGAAACCATGATGTAAATTTTCACATCAATGTTTTAAAAATGAATATTCTACTCTTTAAATTAATGAAAAGGTAGTAAGACATTAAACTGTCTTCTGGTCCCACCATGTAAAAAAGTTTATACTAGAAATTCCATGACAGAGAAAAAAATTAATATATAGGTATGCACCACATACCAATGCTTCAGTCAATGACAGACTGCATATACAATGATGGTACTATAAGATTATAAGACCATATTTTTACTAACCTTTTCTACGTTTTGATATGTTTAGATACACAAATCCCATTGTGTTACAATTCCCTACAGTATTCAGTACAGTAGGATGCTGGAAAGGTTTGTAGCCTAGGAGCAACAGGTTATACCATATAGCTGAGGAGTGTAGCAGGCTCTACCATGTAGATTTGTGTAAGTACACTCTGTACTTTTTGCACAACAAAATTGCCTAATGATGCATTTCTCAGAATACATCCTTGTTGTTAAGCAACACATCTGTATCAGCAAACGAATAACTGAATGATGGTTTAAAAAATCCGTATCTTAACCGCTTAAAAACAGTGACTACCTTCTTACTCAAGACACCTCCTTCCTCCAAAAAACCTTTGCTAGTTTACTCAATTCCATTTCAAAATACATTGTTGTCCATTCAGCATCAACAGATTGGCACAAATTTTGTTTTCGATAGGTATATTCTGGTAACTTTTCATGAATGTGCTTTATCTTCAAACAGATTCTAAGTTACTTGGGGAAGGACAGGTCATATTTACCCAATGAATAGATTGTTAATATTTGGAAAACACCTATACATTTTTGTATCCATTTTCAAATAAAGTAGGCCAGTACTTATGAAATAATTAGGATTACAATGCACTAAACTTATCTGAGAGCTGTCAGAAAACAGAGTTTCCCACACTAATAAAAAAATTCTATTTGGTAGAATTAATAAATATCATACATAAATATCAATTTAAAAATTATAATAGAATCTAATATGTGAACTGCTTAAATAAATGAAATTAAGCATTTTCTTGATGCTCTAGAAGACACTTAAGTATTCTGTAGAAACTTGGCCTTTTTGTTTGTGAACATCAATTATTACTGTACTGCAGCAGCTGAGATCTCTGAGAATTCCCAGTAATAGAATGCTAGCTTCAACATGCAGTACATGTAGACAATACTCGAAGAATGTGATCATTTGCTAAAATATTATATTTCTAATAATGATTATATTACCTTGTATTTACCTTTTTATTTTCCTCAAGTGTTTTTCATTATGTATTTGATTTAGACTACTGAAAGATTCAGTGTTAAAGGCTACAAGTTTACCTATATAATAAACCTATACATGCACCCCTGAACCTAAAATAAAAGTTTAAACTAACAAACAAGAAGGCTATAGGATATTATGATTTTGGCTTATTAACTCATGAAACAAAAGTTGCTGAGAATTCAGGTGATCCAAAGAGGATTATCTTATGTACCTTGTGTCTGATGTATGCAGCCAAATGAGTTTCAGTACAGCCACCTCCCAACAAAGCCCATGGTTCCTTGAGGGTTAATTGCAGGACATGCAGTGCCGTCTGACATGTGAGCTAAGAAAAAAACCCAAATCATCAGAATCAGACATTCACATCATATAGACAAAACACTATAATCATGCTCTCAAAGCATCACAGTGAATTCAAAGAGTGTGATTTTAATTGCTAAAGAACAAAACTTTTGTTGTGCCAAGGTTGTCATGTGATTGATACATTCTGAATAATAAAGTTTAGAGATTAAAGAAGATACTTTAGTGAGAAGTTTGTTTTCATGGAGCCAGATTAATATTTTCTTTCATATACACTTAGCCCTTCATATTGAGACTCACAAATATATGGCCTCAAAATATCTGGGTCAAGGAGGTTTGCTGGCACTTCCACTAAAAAAAATTATTTCAGTTTGCTGAGTGCAGTGGCTCACGCCTGTAATCCCAGCACTTTGGGAGGCCAAGGCAGGCGGATTACAAGGTCAGGAGTTAGAGACTGGTGTGGCCAACATAGTGAAACCCTGTCTCTACTAAAAATACAAAAATTAGCCAGGCATGGTGACTTGGGCCTGTAGTCCCAGCTACTTGGGAGGCTGAGGCAGGAGAATCTCTTGAAGCCAGGAGGCAGAGGTTGTGGTAAGCCGAGATCACACCACTGCACTCCAGCCTGGGCAACAGAGCGAGACTTCATCTAAAAAAAAAAAAAAAAAAAAAAAAAAAAACCCAAATTATTTCAGTCTAAATAATAAATTTATTTCAAATTTTTTTGGAAATAATAGTTATAACCCAGCAATAATAAAAAAAACACACAGACCTTTAACATTTACTAAGGATATATCCTTGAGCATACATGAATCTTTAAAAATTGTGACCAATCCCATAGATTATCACTTCCCTTGTATAAAAGTTGCATGTTATTTTTGGTGGCAGAGTCTCATTTTCTAAGTGAATTATTCATACATATTAGCATCAAAGACTATACAATTCAAATTAATTTCTTAGAAAAGTTCAGATGTCAAGGGCCTTTTAGGTTTCCAATAAATAGTAGAAATAATAAATGGCAACACATGCCACATTTACTTTAATGCCACAGGCATTTAAATTAGCTTACTTGTGACTTTGCATCAATCATTTTAATTTTTGCTTTCTATACTACCTAGGGAAGCTATGAAAAAATAATCATAACTGTTGAGTAATTAATTCCTCCCTCGGCCCCTGGATATGGAATTCAAAGTTCATTACCTACCTTTAGCTCATCCCAGGCAGTGTCATTTCTGTTGCAGAGAAGTAAGCTGCAGATTGTTGCTTCATTAGGAATAAGATGAACAAAATGTTTGGAGCCAAATTTTGCAGTGCACACTTCTTTCACACTTCCATAACTGTTAGGAGATATTGAGCCTAGAGATCCAATAGGCTGTGTTCCTATTTTTTAAAGATTGGAAAATACAAGACGTATAAACAAAAGTGGAGAAAACAACCATTTAAAAGTATATTTATTCCTAGCCAACATAAAAGACTCATAAGCATAGAATTTAAGATATGAAATGTAGGATAAATAAGATGAATTTTCCTAAATTGCTAAGTTATATTCTGCTATTAAAATGATATACAAATAAAGGAAAGCAGAAGTTATTTTGGTTTACAAATCTCTTTAAATATCTTTTAGAAGTCATTTTGTACTCTCTTCCTAGAAAAGGGCACATACAATTTTGCATACATTTTAAGGGAGTTCAGAAATCCTCAAAGCCCATCAGGGATTAAAGATCCCCAAATTAAGAACTTGACTATTTGGATTAAGGGTGATATGAGGTGACAGGCTATTTTTTCAAGGCACTGTTATTTTCAATTTAAAATTAATGCAGCTATCCAAATAGCTGTGTAGTTGAATTCCTTTGGGGCTCTACATAGTGAATATGTAAGAATTATTTTTTTGCCTAGCAACTACTTATAAAATAGCTAATTACGCCAAAACAGTGATGTTTCACTTTGTTATCATTTGATATTTAAGCATTTTGTCCTCCTACCTGCACATGTGAAATAGTAAAGTTTTATAAACCACAAGTAAAAATATGAATAAAGAAGTTAGGGTGACTTGAATTTTCCAGATCTCCAAATGTAATGGAAGTTATTTAAGAAATCTACAGCAAACTCCTACAAGAAACAAGGCTAATTTAAACTCTAAAGCTGTAATTCTGAGCCATTCTTCCCTTTGAGCTAGTTTACTTTCCCTTTAGACTCACCTTTAAAAGATGGTTTCTTTCAAATGGTGTTTAGTTTGAGTCTAAAATGTTGGCCAAATGTGGTGGCTCAGCCACACCTGTAATGCCAACACTTTGGGAGGCTGAGGTGGATTGCTTGAGGTCAGGAGTTTGAGACCAGTCTGGCCAACATGGTGAAACCCCATCTCCACTAAAAATACAAAAACTAACCGGGCCTGGTGGCAGGCGCTTGTAATCCCAGCTGCTTGGGAGACTGAGGCAGGAGAATCGCTTGAACTCAGGAGGTGGAGGTTGCAGTGAGCTGAGATGGTGCCACTGCACTCCAGCCTAGGCAACAGTGAGACTCTGTTGCCAAAAAAAAAAAAAAAAAAAAAAAAAAGTCTAAAATGTCTAAAAACACTTCCATCTCAAAAAATTTATAGAACATAATCAATAATTACTGAACAATTTCACTTATTTGAATATTGTTTCTTTACTTCTGAAGCCTTCAAGAATAACGAATACTTTTAAGTGATCTAAGTAAAAAAGCCACAATTTTATCGTATAATTTCACATGGTGGGAACAACAGATTCTGGTGAGAAGACCCAGCTCTACTGCTTATCAGCCACTGGATGCTGTCACCCATGTCATTTAACTTTCTGCCTCTCTCACCAGAGGCAAGTGGGGATAATAAGGCTTACTTCACAAATAAATCAAACCAAATGTTAACAATGCTCTGTGAGCCGCAATAAGCTTTACATGTGGCACCCATGCACAGTAACACCCACTACTCAACCTAGATCATTAATAAATAGGAAGTTTGAAGGCCTGATGTGAGATAATGTTAACTCAGATACACTAGGGGAGACATATAAGGCCAAAAACATACTTCATCTACCTAAAAGTTTACCTGCACTATGTGCCTGGTAGTTTCTCCCCACCCCCACCCTTCTTTTTTTTCTCGAAAGGTCTCTGCTTGCAAGACCCAGGACTAAAGCTATGGCTGTTAATGGCATGTTTTAGGTATATACTGTGGGCTAGTGTGGAAACCCAGCCCCCAGTTACAACATGGTTTCTATGGGAAAATATTCTTTTTGTTTTGTTATTTTAAAGAGATGTGGTCTTGCTTTGTTGCCCAGGCTGAACTTGAACTCCTCAGCTTAAGCAATCGTCCTGCCTCAACTTCCCAAGTAGCTGGGACTACAGCCATGCACCACACCTGGCTAAAATGTCCCACAGTTTAAAAATTAATCTGGAAGACCAAGTATTTACAAGCTGGAAATTGCCAGATTCATGCAAAGCTAGTAGATATTTAATGATATCAGTCTGGCTTACAATATCAACAATGAGTTCCGAGGAATTATTTTCATTATTAACAAACTCTACTTTGACAGTCATTTAAGTCTTACAAAGAAAGGTAGGGCAATAACCCAGAGATACTATGTATTAAACACTTGGCATACATACAACTCCTTTTTGATGATTTATAGCAAGACTTTTATTAATGAACTTCAACAACAGTTTAAATCTAATGAATTAAAAATGGGAAACAATGCAGACTAAATGATCATCTTTCTGATACGTTGTCAAAGCAGTTAAAGGAATATTGCAAAGTAGCTAAAATCAGGAACTCTTCAGCTTGTCATTTTTCTTTGGCTCTAACAGATCTTACATCTGCTTTTAATTTGCTGAGTTTGTAAAATACAGTGAATTTCTTGCCTATTGTGGTTCTGCATATTACCAAATATAGTTCAGTCCATTCAATAAACACTTTAGAATATCTACTGTGGGTCAGGCCTGTAATAGGTGCTGAAAGTAAATAATCTTGGTTCTCAAGGTCAGCTGGAAACAGTTTTGATAAAGATAAAACACAGATGCATGTACCTTCCCCTTCCATTAGAAACAACTGCTTAGGGAGAGGTACAGAAGTTTGTTGGAATTATGATAAAGTGAAGAAAAAGGGGCATTCTAGTTACAAAATTACTTTCTAAATATAACATGATTTAAAAGTTTTGTTAATTAAGCTGAAGAATTTTGTGTGAAGTATGAAAGACCTTAAGATTATAAAGATGTTAGACTTCTCAATAACCTGTGAAATATTTGGGGGTTAGACTATGACAGACTATAGTACATTTGGGGGGCTGAAAAATACATACAAAATGGCCATAATCACTGTATTTTTAGTATGTGAACAATACAGGATCTTTGCCAGAAACCTTTGCTGCCAGAAATGATACCGACACGTGGTGAGCTTGGTGGCTTCTAAAACTTATCATGATTTTAACAGTGACACACACCAAAAATATCTCTGCTCAAAAAACTGTGATTTATTAACTCTAAGAGGCAAAAGCCAAGAATGATTTTTACCTGTTATTTTAGTCAGGGGTTCCATCAGAGTCACTCCAATTCTGTCTATGGCAATAACACGATGCATACTGAGAAACTGCTTCAAAGATGGATGTATTACTTTTTGGCAGAGGACAAGATCTACGTGGTCACTGACTAGCTGCCTTCCTAGGTTAAGCAGCTGGTCCAGGACTGCATTTTCAAGAGAAACCCCATAACTGAGCACCACAGTTCCTTCTCCAGTGTCGGAAATGTCTCCAGATAAAGTTGTACAAAACAGTGCCACCTTGAGGGCAGTTGATTTTTTGATAGGTAATAACCTCATTAATTGAACTTCGGACATTTCAATGAGTATCCCAGGTAATACGGTGGAATCTATAACTCTTTGACCTTTTAAAGGTACAATTAAACTCTTTCCTAAAATGATGTGGCCTTCAGCATTTTCTGGAATTGTAAGCAAAAAGGCTCTCAGAATCAAAGCACTGACATGCTCTGTTTCCGCTCTGGTGAGTGTACAGGCAGGTTTACTCGTTAATATACTGCGCACCAAACAAAGGAGGATCTGAGTACTACTGAAGTCGACTGGGATTCGACAACCACAGGTCTCAGACTTGAGATAACTGATGCAGACACTCAAAAGATGTTTATTTAAACTAATGACAGTGGTGGGTGTCAAGCCTAATCTCTGAACATTTTCAATCAGGTTGCAGCAAAGAATGGCTGTGAATAAGCCACAATCACTGAAGCTTGACACGTGATTCTGCACGGAGGTTGTCAGGATCTTTAATATGGGATGTGTGACCGAAAGGTGACTGAGCAGGGCTGAGGACTGTGAGGTTGTGCACACGTAACCTCCAGAGCCATTGTGCAGCTGCTTCAGCCTACCTGAAGGGCCATAGCACGATGTTACAATTCTTTTCAAGACAGAAAGTGTGGTCCTGACTCTCTCATTTGTCAGTGGTTCACTCTTACACAGTGATGGCTTCTTAGTATCTAAACGAGACATCTTACTTCAGGTGATAACTTGTAAAGACCGTTTTTACTATGTAAACCACATTTTTCTATTTATTGCATTATCATGTGTTAACATAAAAAATTATTCTTTAGGAATTAAAGTATAAATATGCAGCATTGTGGCTATAAAATCAAGCAGTTCAATGTTTATGAAGCTAAATCAGCATATAATGATTTAATAACAAGTCAGCAATTCCAAATATTTATTTTACTTCACTCTTCAATACTCTTTTGTTTGATTTGAGACTGAGATTTTACAGACTGCTTTGCAGACCTCTGTAAAAAGTAGGTTCCAAGATGGATACCTATGAAAGACATCCCAGCTACAAGAATCCAGTTCTTTCTAATCCAACTGGTATTTTTCATCTCTTCTTTTGAAATGAAGCTCAGATTCAAAGCTGCTTCTTTATCTAAGAAATAAAAACAAAACATTTTAGAGAAATACTTCCCAAGCATTTTGTAGAATGCAGTTTCATAATTTATTCTAATGCTCTGCTGCCCTATTTTTTTTTTTTTTTTTTTTTTTTAGAAACAAGGACCTACTAACTGGCACAAGCCTCCAGAAAAATGAGAAAAGTAAACCAACTTCGACTTAAAATTCTTTTTTCTTCAATAAATCCCCTCTACAAGAAAAAGTGCTTGTATTTCAGTGATTCTGTAAGGCACAACATCGCTAGAAAGCTTATAGCAGTTATTTGAATATGGCATGCTTCTAGAAAACAAATGCTACAATATAAAACACAGAATTTGGTCTTTGAGTCTTAAATGAAGTCCCAAATATTTTGATTCTCCAACATCAAGATTTAATGTTGTTTTAATCTTTAACTGTGGTTTGCTTGGAAACTTTAGGTTTGAACAGAAGCACATTTACATCAAATCCTGTTTGTAAATAATTATAAAAACAAGATAGCTGTTGGCATGTTTACTGCAGAAACTCACTAATGTATAGTCTATATTTAGCTGAATAAATCTGCACAACACATTATACCAAAAAAACTAACCATGTTTTAAATACCTGGCTAAAGTCAGAGCTATCTATCATTTTACTTTATCAGTCAGTGATTTTCAGTTTTGGAAGTCCTAGTCAACTAATCCTCCCCAAAGCACTGGTTAATGACAGTACATACAAAAACCAAGGGATACGCTGAATAACAACAACAACAACAAAATAGGATCTGAGTTGCAGTTCGATTTCAAAGTCTAAATACTATGTTATCATATATCAAATGGACACACAGAAATAAATACAATTCTAGTTTCCTTAACAAGATAATGTCCTTGTTTAAAAAATTAGTGTGGCTTGAGGCATAAATTCCTGACACAATAATAATGTGTGAAAAGAATAAAAATGTTAGATAATAGATATTTTCTGTTGAACCCTGATGTTTTAAAAGTATAATTATTAGTATTTCCAGGAATATACTGAGTATGGTAGCCTCCTGGAGAACATTTAGCATAAATAAAACAAATCTATTTAGCCTAAAGTACTTCCTAAAAGTAGGCTAGAGCATAGTATGGTGATCAGACCAGAACCCTGATTTGAAGCTGTGCAAAGAGGTGGGCAGAACAAGAAAATGTTATGCAAAATGTTATTTTGGTTATCATTCCCAATTTAGTTAAAGGGCTGTACCCATGGCAACTGGGCCCAAATAAAGTAAGGGCAATGATGATCAGCTTTCTTCCTGTGGTGATAAAGCTATTGTCAACTTTTGCATAGCAGGATGAGGGAAAGAAAAATCTGTTTATGCCGGGAACAGCCAAGGTACTTAAATATTTCAACGGTTATTTCAGATTCAGCAAAATCTGAGAAATACATTTAAATGAAGCCTCACAAAGTGATTTCTATTTCATAATTTGCAAGTTAAAACTCACACACACACACACACACACACACACTAAAAACTATGATTAAGAAAATGATTTTTCTAGTTAGAATATTTTTCAGTACTTAATAGTGACATGCAACTTTTCAGAAACAGAATGCCATGCTGGCATCTCTGTCAATCTTATGGTAGTGAGACCAGTCAACACATCTTTTGGCTAGTATTTCATTAAAATAAGAAAAAAAATCAATGAAAGTGTTAGTGACTTCCAAATCATTTTAAAGATGCCAAAACTTGCTGACCTGTGGTCACAGGTCTAGACCAGGACAAAAGAAAGTACAAGAAAGAGGAAAAAAAAAAACCCAAACCATTGGGGCTGGTTTATAGAATATATTTGGAAGTATCAGTTCAGCTCTATTAAAACTCTTTCTTCCTAAACAAGGTGCTCCATGATTCCAGGAGTTACCATTAGATGAAGGGTCCTGACTATTCCTGGATGTACAGGCAGATGGGTTTTTGTTGTTGTTGTTGCAGTGATGGATAACTTAATTAAAATAACACTAAAACTTGCATGACTGTCTTCTAAATTAAGAGGTGCACTATAAAATATAATTTAAAGAAAATATAAGCAGGTAAAAGTTTTTCCTAGAAGCAAATGGAGTTCTTTGGCAAAAAGACTGATTATAGGTATGAGGTAAGAAACACAAGGTAAGCTGGCGTCCTTTTCTGCCAAAAAGTAAAGATGTTATTAAAGACTACCTGTATCATCACACAAGGACAAAGGAAGAAACAACAGGAATCAACTTGGAGAGGATCCAAAATGGTACAACTTCAGCATTAAAAAAAAAAAAGGTAACTGAAATAGATTAATTAAAACATATGCAAACCCACAGGTTCATACTGACACTAAAAACAAAAACCCTAAGCTGCTTGAGCACTCATTATTATTTAAAAAACCAACAAAGGGCATTACAGAGATAAAACATTTATCTTGCTTTTCTTGTATAAATGCATTCTGGGGTAACTGAATAGTTGACGATGAAAAGTTGTTCCACTTAATAAATGGGGAAGGAATGATAGAATTTGAGCAGCATCATTTGGCAACCCCTAATGAACTAGTACATTAGACCCATATGCAATGATTGGTAAATTAAGCCTGTGGACCATATCCAGCCTGTGGCCTGTTTATAAATGAAGTTTTATTGGAAAGCAGCCATGCTCATTAATTTGTGTACTGTGTCTGAGTGCTTTTACACTACAACAGAAAGCTAATGGGTTGGTATAGACACTATATGATCTGCAAAGCCTAAACTATTTACTATCTGGTCTTTTATAGAAAAAAGTTTGCCAATTTCTACATTACAGCAATAATACTGAATCTTTGCTAAAATTTATTAAATAAAAGATCATCTGGCCAACACAGTGAAACCCTGTCTCTACTAAAAAATACAAAAAATTAGCTGGATGTGGTGGTGGGTGCCTGTAATCCCAGCTACTCGGGAGGTTGAGGCAGGAGAATCATTTCAACCCAGGAGGCAGAGGTTGCAGTGAGCTGAGATCACCCTACTGCAGCCACCGTGACAGAGTGAGACTCCGTCTTAAAAAACAAAAACAAAAACAGAAATCAAAGGGGAACTTTATAATGGAAAGAAACTGATAACCTGCCTGTTAATCTCAGCAACACTGGCTAGGTATAGTGGCTCTTGCCTGTAATCCCATCACTTTGGGAGGCCAAGGTCAGAGGACTGCTTGAGGCCAGAAATTTGAGACTAGCCTGGGCAATACAGCAAGACCCAGGCTGCAGTAGGGTGATCTCAGCTCACTGCCTCCTGGGTTGAAATGATTCTCCTGCCTCAACCTCCCAAGTAGCTGGGATTACAGGCACCCACCACCACATCCAGCTAATTTTTTGTATTTTTTAGTAGAGACAGGGTTTCACTGTGTTGGCCAGGTGATCTTTTATTTAAGTTCTAAAAAAATTTTAGAACTTAGCCAGGTGTGGTGGTGGATGAGTAGTCCCAGCTACTCAGAATGCTGAGGTTGGAGGATGACCTGTGCCCAGGAGTTTGAGACTGCAGTGAGCTATGATGAGGCTATTGCACTGTAGCCTGGGTGACAGATCAAAACCCTCAAAAAAAAAAAAAAAAAAGTCCACAACACCATCAAAAGTGGATCAGACATTATATGTGAAACAATATGATTACCTAGGATCTATACCACAGCACCATCCATGAAGTATTCTTGTTCAAAAAATAAATAAAGCCTCTTGATTTAACTACCAGATTACAGGAAATGGGGGTGAGAGAGAGGAACTTGTTAAATGATGCAGAAGCAATCAACCAAATCGAGAATGTGGGGATTTTTTAAAAAGGCAGATTTAGGAGGGGAATTGAAAAAAGACATTATTTATCAAACAGTATGTAGACCTTGTTTGGATCCTGATTCCAACAAACTACCTCTAAAGACTTTTTAAGACGAATTCAGAGATATGAACATGGCCTTGGGGTATCAAATTGTAATTAGAGTCACTGTTGCTTGGCACGGTGGCTCACACCTGTAATCCCAGCACTTTGGGAGACCGAGGCAGACAGATCACAAAGTCAGAAGTTCCAGACCAGCCTGTCAACATGGTGAAACCCCATCTCTTCCAAAAATACAAAAATCTGCTGGGAGTGGTGGTATGCACCTGTAATCCCAGCTACTCGGGGAGCTGAGGCAGGATAATTGCTTGAACCTGGGAGGTGGAAGTTGCAGTGAGCTGAGATCACGCCACTGCATTCCAGCCTGGGCAACAGAGCAAGACTCCATCTCAAAAAAAAAAAAAAAAAAAAAAAAAAGTCACTATTAAGTTTTTCTGGGTGATAATGCAAATGCATTTGTTCATGTGTGTTTATTCTTACTGCTAAAGACACAAACTAAAGGACTACATAGTGGAGCTTAAGATTTGCTTTAATATATTCTAGCAGTTCAAAAAACAGGAAAAGATGGATAAAAGAAGATTGGCAAAATGCCAATCAACTATTAAAGCTGGTTTATGGATACCTGAGGGCCCAATATACTATTCTCTCTCTATTTGAGGCATGTATGTAATTTTCCATAATGAAAATAAAAATAGAAAGTAAGGGGCAAACATAATGCATTATTTTTATGTACTTCAACTATTTGGAATTGCTGTTTAACTTACTCTAAATCTGGCTCTAACTTTTGCTTATTAAAAGCCTGTTTAAATATCTGCTGCTGTTTGCTTGACTGGAAGTGTTAGTCTCTAAAATGTTTAACTATTGCTGCATTGGCCTCTAAAACCTCTTACTATATTCACCTAATATTTTAGAGGAGATTCTTTTCTCAGCTCTATTTTTCCTCCAGGAGTAATTCTTTTTGCACAATAAGAAACTATTTAATTTTTTCCTCCAAAGTTTGGCCATACCTGGCCTCCAAACTTACGACAAGAAAAACAAAAAGATGTCATAAGTACAACATACATACATACTATAATGGTCTTATTATAGTCTGGAAGATTATGTATATAAAAATCCAGCATCTAATAAATTCTCTGAACTCCCTATGCATATATATTAAAATGCTTCCTATAAATATAAATTTTAAACAGAATGTAGGGTTTCTAAGTTGTTAAGCTTCTATGTTACTATCTGGCTTTTTGTATTAAATAATTGTCTAATACATAAGCCATGTTCTTCCGATTCTGCTTATGAACATTTAAAACTAAAACCTTGATTTAAAATATTGTTGAAACAAGTCATTATATCATAAGTCAAAATCTCAGACCAAGGCTTATAAATAAGGAAAGTCTTACCGAGGCTCTTCTTCCATAAAGGGCAGAACTTTACACTCATCTAGGTTATGACACAACTTAGAGTGTATTACTCAAGGTTAAAAAGTAAATTACAATAGAAAATGCTTTATAATCATGGGATCACAGTTCTTTATCTGAAACTCCTTGGGCCATATGAGTTTCATAATTCAGAATTTCTTAGATTTTATAAACACAATACAGTGTATTTAATAACATCTATAATCGATATAATCAGAATATAGTGTAACACTATATTATAGTAAATAAAATGCAACAAATGCCAACAAAATTTCTGCAGTGAAACTAAATTTTCATATTAAGTGGAATAAAAACAGTAACCTGCCCCATTGATCTATCAGGGATATGTTCTAAAACCACCCAGTGGATGCTTGAAACTGGATGTAGCACTAAACCCTATACATACTAGGTTTTCTTCTTATACATACATACCTACGATAAAGTTAAATTTATAAATTAGGCACAATACTCTTGTGCTTTGGGTACATTGTGAAGTACAATAAGGGCTACCTGAACATAAGAGCAGCAACACCACGACAGTTGATCTAACCCAGAGTGCTACTATTGGACTAATGAGCAGGTAGGGAATGACTCACATTCTGGGTGGATGAAGCAGAATAGCCCAGGATTTCATCATGCTACTCAGAACAGTGCACAATTTAAAATTTATGAATTATTTCTGGAATTTTCTATTTAATATTTTCAGACTAGGGCTGACTGCAGGTAACTGAAACCGAGAATAAAGGGAGATAACTGCACTGGAAATTGTCTCTCATGTCAGTTAAGATCGTTTTGCTGCCAAAGGAGTTAGGATAAAATGTTTCGGTTTTCAGAACTTTTTGAATTTTGGAATTACGGATAAGCGGCTAAGACCTGAATTATTAACTACATCCTCTTTATTTCAGTGACCCTCAAAAGTAACAAATTATGTTCAAGCTAAAATAGTTGATGTTAAGGAATGAATACAATTAGTTTTGTATTGTAAAAAACAAAGAACACTAATAGAAGAAAAGAATCTTGGACAAGTTCAGACTTGTGGTATATAATGGTAAGGAGTCAGGGGCTCCTTTGCACACATTCATGATCCTGGGGATGCTCCTAGCAAACTGCCCTTTCCCTTTGCATTCAGATGACTGCCAGAGAAGTGACAAACGTCTCTGCACAGCACACTTTTCTAGAAACAACTACAGAATAGTATTTTGCCAGTGGGTCATAAGGTAACTTGCCAACTTAGGCTCTCTCTCTTTCTTTCTTTTCTTCATTTATTTATTTTTGAGACAGTGTTTCATTCTGTAGCCCAGGCTGGAGTGCAGTGGCACAATCTTGGCTCACTGCAACCTCCACCTCTGGGTACTGGTTCAAGCAATTCTCCTGCCTCAGCCTACAGAGTAGCTGGAATTACAAGCACATGCCACCATGCCCAGCTAACTTTTGTATTTTTAGTAGAAGACGGGTTTTCACCATGTTGGCCAGGCTGGTCTTGAACTCCTGACCTCGTGATCCTCCTGCTTCGGGCTCCCAAAGTGCTTGGATTACAGGCATGAGCCACTGTGCCCAGCCAATTTAGGCTTTTTTTTTTTTTTTTTTTTGCCAGAGATCTAAAAGATCAAGTTTCCTATTGTTGGAATGTACCATATGATTAACCAACCACATTAAATGAAACTTACCTGAAGACCGCAAGCCTGCTACTTCCCTTGGATTTGGCTCTTCTGCAGATTTTCAAGTTGAAGACTATCTTGCTCAGGAATGTCGTCCTTGTGAGGTATTTGGAAAATAGGGCTGCTTTGGATTTTGTACCATCCCAAATGTACGAGCCCAATTACAGGGACCATAACAACCAGAACTCTGTAGTTTCTCCAGAGTTTCTGAAAGATCATAGTACTTCAGGATCAGTGTACCTAAGAAAAGGTTACAGTTAAAGGAGGAAGAAAAAACACTAAAAACCATAACCTCTCTTTAACTGCATCTCTAAATCACTTCAAGTAGCACGCTGTACTCTAAAAAATGCTGAATGTGAAACAGTTTTAGTTATAATAATACACTGCAATGTTAATAAACAAAAAGAGATATGTCATTGACCCAAAGGGCACAGGCAATCAGCCTTGGGAAACTTACAGAGCAATACTGACTTTTTGGCAACAACTGTAAAGGAGCAACATTACCTGCTGAAAAAGCTATATGAACCTTTGAAAACACACATGCATGGAGTGTTCCTTAGATATATTAATGTTCTCTGAGCCACAATAGAGTAAGAGTCTTTTTAAAAGTTATATATATATTTTATAAATTCTATATATATTTTAACAATTTATTTAAAAAGTTATATATATATTTGAGAGATGGAGTCTTGCTCTGTCACCAGGCTGGAGTGCAGTGGCGCAATCTTGGCTCACTGCAACCTCTGCCTCCCAGTTTCAAACAATTCTCCTGCCTCAGCCTTCTGAGTAGCTGGGACTACAGGCGGGTGCCACCATGCCCAGCTAATTTTTTTGTACTTTTAGTTGAGATGGGGTTTCACCATGTTGGCCAGGATGGTCTCCATCTCTTGACCTTGTGATCTGCCTGCCTTGGCTTCCCAAAGTGCTTAAAGTTATATATATATTTAAATTATAATTACAGGCTGGGCATGGTGGCTCACACCTGTCACTACAGCACTTTGGGAGGCCGAGGCAGGCAGAACACCTCAGGTCAAGAGTTTGAGACCAGCCTGGCCAACGTGGTAAAACTCCATTTCTATTAAAAACACAAATGTTAGGTTGGGCGCAGTGGCTCACACCTGTAATCCCAGCACTTTGGGAGGCCAAAGTGGGCAGATCATGAGGTCAACAGTTCAAGACCAGCCTGACCAACATGGTAAAACCCTGTTTCTACTAAAAATGCAAAAATTAGCCAAGCGTGGAGGCATGCACCTATAATCCCAGCTACTCAGGAAGCTAAGGCAGGAGAATAGCTTGAACCCGGGAGGCCAAGGTTGCAGTGAGCCAAGATTGCGTCACTGCAATCTAGCCTGGGTGACAGAGCAAGACTCTGTCTCAAAACCAAACCAAATCCCAAAATTAGTCAGATGTGGTGGCACATGCCTATAATCCCAGCGACTCAGGAGGCTGAGTCAGGAGAAATGATTGAACCTGGGAGGTGGAGGTTGCAGTGAGCCAAGATCATGCCACCGCACTGGGCAAGAGAGTAAAATGCCATCTCGAAAAAAATAAATAATTACATTTAGTCACAATTTTAACAGAAGAATCAAATGGTAATCCACAAATATGCAGTAGGAATTTAGGTTCTATTTTCTCACAGGATATAGTGATAGTGTTTCAACTGAGATTAGAACAGCTGAGCATGTATTCCAATTGCAGTAAAAGACTTCTGGCTTGGATACCATGAATTAGAATGAATTTAATGTCATTTCCACATTTATGTGCAAAACTACTGGATTTTAAAGTGTTTGCCTTGAATCACTAGAAACCCTACCCAAGAGGATTGTTACCAACCTAGTTTAAATGAAGAAACTGGGGCTAGAAAGTTGCCTGGAGTTACAAAGCTGGTTAGCTTTTAAAATATATATATATATTTTAAATTTGGAAAAGATGGAAATAGGGCCCAGAAAGGCTGTGTCTGATGATCTGTTGGGTTTGGGAACTTGAGTCTGGACAACCTCTAGAGATTCCTTAAACTCTTAATAAGGACTGCCCACCATCTATGAGACATGCTATGAACTTGGTTCAATTGCATCTTTGAGTTTTAGTACCATGAAATCTCCTAAATAACTTTATTTTTGTCTAAGTGCCATTAGAAAAAGATCTGAACAGAATTTCTACTTATTCCCCTTTTTAAAACTAAAACACAATAATAATGTTACTCTCAACCATTTTTGTGTTTTGTATATACATTAAAAATAACAAACGGTGTTGTCTTATAGCTATGAACATGTTATTCTTAGCATTATAAATCATTTTCCCCCAAGGTCTAAATTCACATTTTATAAGGATTTCGTTGCAAAATTTAAATTACTAGATGGAAAAAACATGACCTACTCTGTAAATGAAAGTATTTTAGGTGAGCACAGTGGTTCACGCCTGTAAACTCTGCACTTTGGGAGGACCAGGTGGGCGGACCACAAAGTCAGGAGTTCAAGACCAGCCTGGCCAACATGATGAAACCCCATCTCTACTAAAAATACAAAAATTAGCCAGGTGCAGTGGTGGGTGCCTATAATCCCAGCTACTCGGGAAGCTGAGGCAGAGACCTGCTTGTGAGCTGCACTCAGAGCCTGGGACAGAGTGAGACTCCATCTCAAAAAATAAATTTATATATTTTATGGTCTTTTCCTTTTCTAAAGTACTCCGGTATACTATATACTTTTTGTAACCTTTAGAGAATATACCTTTTATTGACATGCTTATGTTCTATTTTTAGAGGAAATCAATTACAAATAACTGTATCATAATTAAATTTCAGTGTGACGTCCAAAGGCAAAAGCCTTAGAAGATTTGAGAGTACAATAAAATAACTGGAAAAGGAACTAGGTGATTTAGATTAACAAGGGAAGAATTCTAGTAAGGGCTACATTTTATAGGAAGGACAAAGCCTACACCAAAGTCAACTGGCCTGTGTTGATTGACACATGGCCTTTTTGTTTACAAAACACCTTAAACAAAAGGTCTAGAAGGTATTGTTATTCATATCCAGTCTCCTCAATACTTAGGGTAACTCTGGCAGCTCTGTTACTCTTAACATGAGGTTAACAAGTCATATTACTTTTAACAGCCATCTCTGCCATTCACCATTTACTTCTCCATAAGCAATAATATAACTCAACACTTGTCAGTTTTTTACTGAACCATAAACTCAAGGGAAAAAAAAAAAGCAAAAACAAACAAAAAAAACCCCAGCTTAGAAAAAAAGAGGCTAGGGCCAGGCACAGTGGCTTACACCTGTAATCCTAGCCCTTTGGGAACCTGAGATGGGCAGATGGCTTAAGCCTATGAAACATGGCAAAACCCATTTCTACAAAAAAATACAAAAATTAGCCAGGCATGGTGGCACCTGCCCGTAGTTCCAGCTACATGGGGGGGCTGAGGTAGGAGAAGTGCTTGAACCTTGGGAGGTTGAGGCTGCAGTGAGCCGAGATCACGCCACTGCACTCCAGCATGTGTGACGAAGTGAGACCCTGTTTCAAAAAAAACAAAAAGCAAAAAAGAGACTGGATAGGACAAAAGGATGTAATAATAAAACTGAGATTTGTAACTCAAGAAGAACTAAAATTAGGAACAAATTAAATGACGATCTGTAACACTGATATTTGCAAAAGTGCTGTACTCTTCTCTCCAGCACCGTGATTAAAGCAAGCAAAGACATGGTATGAACCTTTCTTGAGAAGAGTGAAAACAGTATTTCAGAAAAGGATCAGCTTAGCTCCCTACAATAATTAATGAAATCTATGGTTCATCTCCCAGCTAAAGACAAAAGAAATGGTCAATTTTATGTATATTGTGCTTAACAGTCTATTATTCTTTCCACTAGGATAACTTAAGGATCGATGAATCTTTTTCTAGATTTACGTTTAGTTAAACCTGGAAATTAGTATCTATTTTAACTGAAAACTCTTTGTTTGCTAAACATCACTGAGACTCGGTACGGTATTTCTTGGTCAGTAAATGATATAGACTGATTTAATGATTAATTGCTTTAATGTTTACTGAACATCTACATGTCCCTGTTTCCTCAAATTCTCCGTATCTAATATATTGATTTGGCTAATGGGGGTGAGAGAGCCAAGTAACTATTTTCTGACAGATAATTCTGTTGTCCTTTGAGAGCACTGGGAAATAACTAGGATCAGCATGAAAGGGGTTTTTACTTTACAAACTATTTTTAGAGTTTTAATTTAATTCACATAAAACAGTAAGTATCACACTGTACATACAATAGTCCATTTTCACTGAGCAAGATGGAATTAGCACTTTAAAATGGCATTGGCATACAGTGAGACCTCATTTCTTTCTCTCTCCCTTTCTCTCTCTCTGTATATGAAAAATATATGAAAAATAAAAAAAGGCCAGGCACAGTGGCTCACACCTGTTACTCTAGCACTCTGGGAGGCTGAGGCAGGTGGACTGCTTGAGCCCGAGTTCAAGAGTATCTGGGCAATATAGTGAGACTTCATCTCTATTTTAACAGAAAAAACATATATTTTTAAAAAGTAACATTGGCATATAACTTTAACCTACTTCATTTCTTTCACTTAATAGCTTTCCAGTACATTGCATGCATAACCACTATTGCCTGCATAACCACTTCTCAGTGCAACACACATTAGACTTTACTAGACCTTACCAGCAAGGCTCATTGCTAGTTTTACCAAAAAAAAAAAAATAATAATAAGTTTTCAAATTTCATATATGATAGGGTTATTAGTGAGGTAATGTGTTATTTATTTTGTTTATAAACTCTTGCAGAGTTTTTACTTACAATCAAACATATTTTGGGGATACAATTGTAATTTGGCACTTTTTTTCTTCTTAGTTCCTTAATGGTTTTTTACAAAATAAAAATTAGGCTAGGCATGGTGGCTCATGCCTGTAAACCCAGCACTTTGGGAGGTGGAGGCGGGTGGATCACGTGAGGTCAGGAATTCAAGACCAGCCTGGCCAACATGGTGAAACCCCGTCTCTACTAAAAATACAAAAAACTAGGCTGGTGTGGGGTGGGTGCCTGCAATCCCAGCGATTTGGGAGGTTGAGGTAGTAGAATCTCTTGAACCTGGGAGGTACAGAGGTTGCAGAGAGCTGAGATGGTGACCCAGCCTGGGCAACAAGAGTGAAACTTCGTCTCAAAAAAAAAAAAAAGTAGCATTACTGTCCTTTTCTAATAAATACAGTATAACCTTACTTTATAA